GGAGCAGCCACTGCACTCCAGTCTGGGCGACAGAGTGAGACGCCAACTCAAAAGAAAAAAAAAAGTGAATAAAAAACTTTACTTCTTTCTACTTTCTTACTTGGTTGTAATCTTGCATTATTCCCACGGCCCCACACCGGCTCCAGCCCAACTTGTCTCAGATGATCCTTTCATCAAATATATCAAATCATCACATTGCATACCTTAAATGTATCCACTCTTGTCAATGATACTTAATAAAGCAGGGGATGTCCTTAAAAAAGAGATAGTTGACTCTCCTCAGCCATAATAAAAATGTATTATTCAGAACCGTGTAAAGATTACAATGAGCTCCAACCAAATCAATACAAGTTTAAATTGGGCCAGCAATTTATCAGCTGCTACATATGTATGCATAAACGCACGCACACAGTGATGATCCTCATAATTCTGATTCCATATTTGCAGATTAGTCAATAAAAAATTACTGACTTAATAAAACTTATTTTCAACCCCCAAAATCAATACTCGTGAAGCTTCTGAAGTCATTTTACACATAAGGAAAACAACAAAAAATATGAATCATCCAACTTAAGGTCAAAAGAAGCAAAGTTCTCCCTGCTTTCCAGCTCTGACTAGAAACAAGTATCATTTTCTGGATTTACTTAATGCCTGACTTTTTCTAATTTTGTGCTTTTGAAGGCAATATTTTTTTTTGCTTAAAAAGCCTCACAAGAATAGTGTTGAAGTGCTGTGTCATCTCCCTAATCATAAGAAGGTTGTGATGTGCCTTATGGAAAACATATATGTGTTAAATAAATTTTGCACAGGTATTAGTTATAGTACTTATGATCATTAATTTAATGTTAATGAATCAAAAATATATATTGAATAATGTGTCTCTATACAGAAGTACACACAAAACAAAGTTATATACTGATCAAGTGATCAAAAACATTGTGAACAGAGGCTCAGAGAAACCTAACCCTCTATTTTTTTAGAAGCAATGGTTCAATATTTGTTAATGAATTGGAATTTAACTGCTGTGAATAGCAGATATTGACTGTATTACATATATTATACATATAATATACATATATACATATATACATACACATATGTTTGTATGCTTGTGCAGATATATTGGAAGGGAGATGT